GTGTTCTTCACCAACATGACAACTCAAAAGCTTAGTCGTCCTTATTCATTGTCCAGTTTTCACACATTTATGAGGTGACTGAAAACATCATGGCTTGGGTTAGGCACACTTTAGTCTTCAAAGTGACATCTTTGCTTTAACACTTTAAAGAGGTCTTTTTGCAGCAGATGTGCCCAATGCAATACATTGTTTGATTTCTTGACTGCTGCTTCCATGTACATTGAATGTGGATCTAAGTCAAATGAAATCCTTAATAACTTCAATATTTTCTCCATTTATTATGTTGTTTACTGGTCCAGTTGTAAGCATTTCTGTTTTATGCTGAAGTGTAATCCATACTGAAGGCTGTAGTCTTTGAACTTCATCAGTAAGTGCTTCAAGTCCTCTTCATTTTCAGAAAGCAAGGTTGTATCTTCTGCCTATCACGGGTTATTAAGTTTTCCTCCAATTCTGATGCTGCATTATTCTTTACATAGTCTAGCTTCTCAGATTATTTGCCCAGCATAAAGGAGTAAATATGGTAAAAGGATACAACTATGATGTGCACCCTCCCTGATGTTAACCCATACAGTATCCCCTTGTTCTGTTCAAATGATTGCTTCTTGGTCTATGTACAGGTTCTTCATAAGCACAATTAAGTGTTCTGGAATTCCCATTCTTCTCAATGTTATCCATAATTTATAATGACCGACAAAGTTGAATGCCTTCGTGTAGTCAACAAAACAGATAAACATCTTTCTAGTATTCTTTCCTTTCAGGCAAAACCCATATGACATCAGTAATGATAGCCTTTGTTCCATGTCCTTTTCTGAATCCAGCTTGAATTTCTGGAAGTTCTCTGTCAATATACTGCTGCAACCATGTTTGAATTATCTTTAGCAAAATTTTACATGCATGTGATATTGATAGTTTGATAATTTCCACATTTTGTTGGGTCACTTTTCTTTGGAATGGGCACAAAAATACTGATCTCTTTTAGTCAATTGGCCAGGTCTTCCAAGTTTCTTGGCATAAATGAGTAAGTGCCCCAGCATGGCATCCATTTGTTGAAACATCTCAGTGGGTATCCCATCAACTCTTGAAGCCTTGTTTTTCACCAATGCCTTCAGTGTAGCTTGAATTTCTTCCTTCAGTATTATCAGTTCTCAATCGTATGCTATCTCCTGAAATGGTTGAAGGTCACCCAATTCTTTTTGGTACAGTGACTCTGTGTATTCCTTCCATCTTCTTTTGATGCTTCCTGCATCTTTCAATGTTCTGCCCGTAGAATTCTTCAACATTGCAACTCAAGGTTTATATTTTTTCTTTAGTTCTTCCAGCTTGAGAAATACCCATGTTCTTCCTTTTCGGTTTTTAACTCCAAGTCTGCACATTACATTAAACTTCTCAAGCTGCCCTTTGAAATCTTTACCTCTTTAAATTCATCATTTCTTCCATTCACTTTAGCTACTTTATGTTCAAGAGCAAGTTTCAGGGGCTTTTAGGTATTAGTGCTGGCTTTCCTAGTGGACTTTTTAATTAAGCAACCAAGTAATGCATAGTATTGCATCACCAGTGCAGGCCTGAAATCTCTCCTAACAGAGATATTAGAAGGGTCTGCATCAGCTCCCCATGAGGTGAAGGAAACCTTTGTCCCCTACAACATTTTTCTGAATTATGTACTTTTACATATATTATCCCATTTAATATCTTCTAATTCTCACAATAAACTGCTATTTCCTTTTAGTAGAGAAGGAAACTGTATCCAGCAAGGTGACAATGGCTAGAAAGTGACCTAAGGGTACAATACCAAAAAACAAACAAACAAACAAAAAAAAACCTCACTGCCGTGGAGTCGTACCCCACTCATGGTGACCCCTCCTTGGGTTTCCAAGGCACTATCACTATGGGAGTAGATTGCCCAACCTTCCTTCTGAGGAGTGGCTAGTGGGTCTGAACCACCAGCCTTCTGGTTAGCAGTCAGATGCCTTAGGCACTGCACCACCAGAGCTCCTAAGGGCACAATACTAGGAGCAGAGTGAACAACTGAGCCAAAGTAGAGTGATTCCAAAGTGTGGTTTCTTTCTACTTCTCTAGTGCTAACACAGTAACATTATAGCAAAGGCAATGCAAAACCATTGCAGTAAAGTTCAACAATTCTAGCTTCTTAACAAATTGCAATCATACAGTTAGAAGGGACTTTGGTGATTAGCCCAACCTCCTTAGTTTACAGGTAAGGAAACTGATGCACAGGAAGTGCTGATCACCTGATGTCACACTGTTAAGAGGTGGATCTATGATTCAGCCCCAGCCCTCATTCCAAATCCAATGACCTTCCCACTAGAATACACTGCCAGTCCCTTAGCTGCCTCAGTTCCTCCAGACTTGGCCAGGGCCCCATGAATATTAATGATAATGACAAGATAAAGCCATAGGTCTGGAGTGTAAGCAGTTTGCTAGACAGCCTCCACCCTCACCACTGCTCTGCTTGTAAAATTCACCCAGGCACCCACTGTTTCATAGCTATAATTTGTTCTGAGATTCTCTTGAGGGCTGCATGTCCTGAGTGCAAATTAGCATCCTAGTCAGGTGCAAGGTAAAGCACTGGGTCTCACACTAGGCAATGCCCTCCATTCCATTCCAACAGAGCTGGGTTACACTTCACTTTCAAGAGGCCAAAGCATCATAGCACTAGATTAAAAATATAATTACTTAAACATTGCTTGTTCACAAGGACACTGTAAGGTTCAAGCCAACTTTATCCTGCTGATTAGAATAATGGAGTATCTCTCTGCTGACCATCTCAGACTGGAATGTACTGGGACTGACCATCAATCATTCAGACATTGCCTACACCTGACCTTTGATGATGTCTAGAGCAATAAAATACTAGGTTTCAAATACTTAACACATAACTTATGAGAAAGCAGACACGTAAGTATCATTTATCAGTATTTACTTTTTATCTTCTGAACAACTGGCATAGTGTCTGCCCCACAGTAGGTGCTGAATATTGAATGAATGCATGCTGAATGAAATAGTCTATCCATCTCATCACTCCAAAACCTTGAACTCTATATATTAAAAGTAAGTAATTTTCTGTTAGTCTTTAGCTTTCCACATAAATTACAAAAGGGTTTGCCTATAAAGTCATTTGTCTAAAGGAAGAAGTTGTGCTAGGAAGACCCAATAGTTCTGGAGGGCCCACCACTTTAAGTCAATTAAATAACTAAGGACACACTGTGTATTACTGAAGTTAGTCCTCTGTAAAGCAGATTGGTAGGAACCAGGCATTTGGACAGATAATTGTGACACAGAATGATTTACACCCTAATAAAAATATAAACTAGGTAGAGATACAGCAGAAGGGAATAGCTGAGCAGATTCATCTGGAGACTTGTGGTTGGGAACAGGAAATGCTTGAGAAAATTTTGAATGCCAAGTAGGAACTTCTAAGACAGGTAAGAGGGAAGGTATTATTTGGCACAGCTAGACAGCCTCATGTCACCAAGCACGATCTTGATTAATTCAGAAGGATAACAACTGTATTTATCGAGTACCAACTGAATGTCAGTAACTGAGCTGAGTATTTTCACCTTCTTACATGCTCCTGGAGACAGGAGTCACAGTCCTCGTTTTCCAAGTGAAGAAATAAAGGCTCAGAAGGGTGAAATGACCTATCCAAGGCCACAAAGCTCATAAAATGGAGTGATACCTGAGCCATACTGTAGTCCAGTAGTTACCAGAAAGTGTTGTGCAGATTCCTGAGTTTTCCCACGAAGAGTTAGGAGGTGAGGGGACAAAGCATACAAACCAGAGCAGCTGTTCTTTGTTCTATTTTCTATGATATATTTGCAGTAAGACTTTATTTGAGTAAGAGTACTCATGCTTTAAAAAAAAAAAAAAAAAAAAAAACCGCTATAATTGAGCAAATTACTTTCTTGGGACCATACTCTGCAATTTAGTCAACATAGCAGATAAACTGAAAACTGTAATAAACATAGCCTAAAATATTCCTATCAAAGCGGAAAAAGAAACAAAAGACATTCAATCCAAACTTCACTTTCATTTTGAGCCAGCAGATACTTAACTGTAGTTGAGGGCCAAGGCATGAGTATGGTTCAGAGATGGAGACAGATATAAATGCTGAATGACAATGAGTGCACCTGCAGCTGGAGAAGCCCCAGCTTTGTTTACCTCAAGCCAGCCCACAATATTATTCATTCCTCAGCTGCAAACCATGTGCCAAAGGCCTCGGCCACCGTTACAGCCTCAGCAGGTCCCCCACTGATAGCAAAGACAGATCTCTTGCTGTCGGGTGCACCACAGATAAAGTGGCTTTAATAACTAGTGCAGTCATTTGTGATGCACTTTTAATTGGGTCAATTTTCTCTTAATTACACAATCTTTGAAAATTGGATGCCATTTTATAATCAGAGAATGGGCTTTCTCCAGGTGAAAAGTAAGAAGACAAACTAGTTCAGCATCACTTTAATCACTCCTTCCCTGTCCTTTGGCAGATATCACAACAGAGGCAAAACAAAACACTGTGAGTAGCTCAGTCTAGCAAATTTTGTTTCAGTGAAAGGGAGCAGCTCTTTGCGTTGCCATAACCCCTGTACCTACAAAGCAAGGTGTGTTGCTCAGTCCACCAAAGCCAAAGCCTGAGGAACCACACCCTAAATTCCTTCACCCACCAGTTTGTCTTAAAAGCACGGGCTCTTCCTTTTTTAATAACAATCCTAAGGATAACATAGGCGGCACAGGCTCAATTTAAGACAGAGTGTTGGTGACTCTACACCATGGAGACTGATTGTGAACAGAGGAAATGTGGGACTGGATTTTGGATTACCTTTACATAATGGCGCTTTGGGCTGGATTTTGACTGGGGGTGATCCCTATGATGGTCACACTCTCAAAGAATGCAGTGGTAAGAGACAGAAGCAAAATGATCATGGTACAAATTATCTCCCTCCTCACCCCTCAAATCCCATAATTAAAAAATCATGAACACCAGTTGAGAAGAAACAGTTATCAATTATTTAATGCATCAAGAGGAATGGAAGTAAATCCCGAAACCAATATTATGTACCCACTTGGAGAAAATAGAGAGTAAAGGCCCAACAGTTTTGTTTTAATATTGAAAACAAGATGTGTCCACCTCTCCACTTTGCTGGCCCCAATCTGTGTTGTACAGCCTCCCAGACAACTCTTAGCACGGGTCAGTGGAGAGAGGTAATATGAAAAATGATGATCCCTAGAGATTATTTAAGAGTGTTTGCTGACTATGTTAGCAATAATGTTTGCTTATTCCCATGTCTATGCTCTGGCATAAATCCAATCCATATGCTCCTTTAAAAGGCAAGCTATTTCCAGGCCAAAGTCTTCAACATCAACCAACAGGGTAAATCCATTTTCTGTCACATCTACAATTAGAGACCAATCCAAGATGGCACAAATCCTCTGGCTAGGAGGAATATTTTGCTTCCCCAAAGAACTGGATATATCTCCCTTGGTGGTACTAAATGAATGAGTTTTCACACTGGTTAAGGTGATCAGACCTGAGGCATCATGCCACAGAGGAATGCTGTCTGAAATGTCACTGAAAGGTGGAGGGAATCCCGCTGGAGCATGCACACTGGATGCAGCCAGAGATGAAGAGAAAGTATCAAAGGTGAAGCACGTTCTAATAGGAAGGAAACGGGCCAGAGACATCAAAGCCAAAAGAGAGGAAACCAATAACAATTCAATACAGGGGGAAATTTCTAGCTACAAAAAGATTAAAGTGGTTCTCTCTACTGAAGCCTAACGAATTAAATTTTAGCTAATCCCATCATGTGTCCTAGTGGGGAAATGCATCTGTTATAGCTCTAGATTTAGGGGAAAATATAAATAAAAAACAGTAAAATACAGAGCTTCTAAAATTCTAGGACTAGCTGGCTGGAGTCAAGACACAGGCTGAGTCTACTCTACAATACCATCAACAACGAAGGACAAAGGAAGAGAAGCTGTCTGAGAACAGCTATTTCTCTTCTAAGGGGTGGAATATCTCCTCAGGTGGTAGCTGTAGATCTTGATGCAATGATCCCAACAGTCCAAGACCAGCAGCTGTCCCTTAGGAGTAAGGGCAATGCCCACTGGACAGGTGAGCCCCTCTCGAATAAGGACACTGTAGCCTCCACCCTTAGGAAAGTGGAGAATTTCCTTGCGACTACTATCAGCCACAATGAGGTCACCACGGGCATCCACACACATGCCAGCAATGCAGCGGAAATCCTCGTTCTCCGAGAAGAAGTGGCTAATCTGGCGACCCAACTGCCCATCAGGACCCACAGAGCCAATGGAAAAGCCACCCTCCAAGTGGTGCTCATTCTGCCGGTTCTCCAGGTTGAGGCCCAAGCCCTGGGTGAAATAGACAGTGCCCTCAGCATCACAGGTGACAAACTTGGGCCGCACAGCACTGCAGAGGCAGCTGTATTTGACTACCCCTGCTCCCCGGTCGACAGTGAAACACCAGAGCTTTCCACCTTCCACATCAGTTACCACAAACTGGCCAGATGGCAGGGCTGTAATGCCCCATGGTTTGCTCAGCTGGCTCCGGTGGCAGGCCACGCAGTGGCCATCCAAGGTGTATACCTTGAGGGAGTTATCATAGCTGTCAGTCACACCAATCAGCCCGTGGCAGTTCATGGCCACTGAGAGAGGAGTGAGATTGGGTAAATCAGCCCCAAGAAAGCTCAGCACAAAGCTATCAATGCCACTGGGGCTGCGGCGGATCTCCTTCAAGAAGCCCTTGCGGGTGAAGACTTGTATACGGTAGTTGCCACGGTCAGCAACAAGCACCTCTCCTTGACTGGTCACGTAGAGACTGACTGGAAGGTTGAACATGCCTGGAGTGCTGCCTTTGGCCCCCATCTTCTTGAGAAAGAGACACTGCTGGATATTGGCAGGTGTTTCAGGACCCCGCTGTTTAGCAGGTGAGGACCTAGGGCTGGGAACCCCTTCCTCAGGGCTCATGTCCATCTCTCTAAATGTAACAGAGGCGGAGGCAGCAGAGGCTGCAGCCTCCATGGCCCAGGAATCTTCCATGTTGACTGTTCGGGGCTTCTTAACAGCCTGCCCAATTTGGAGGGGGCCAACATGGCCTACCTTGAGGAGCTCCACATCCTGCAGGGTAAGCTCCCGGGGCAGGTTGGCAGTGAGCTCTGGCTCCTCCTCATCAGCTGTTTCCTCCAGTAGTGCTACGTCAGCCTGCTTGATCTTGGCCAGAAAGTAGTCACAGCGAGACACAGCCTGCACTTCTGCAATGTTGAGCTGGTAACTCTGCTCCTCTACCACCTGACTATTGGACTTCTCAACCTCAGCCAAAGAGCCCGTGAAGAATTTCCGGGAGCGAGCCAGCTCCTCCTGCATTCTGCGCTCCTCGTGTCCATACTCCTGAAGAACTGCTTTATACCTGGCCTGAAGGTCCTTGGAAACCCCTTCCAAGGCAACCTTCCGCCGCTGCAGCTCCCCCATAAGCTCTCGCAGACGGGCCAACTTCTCTCCAAAGTCGCGACGCCGCTCCTCAGCTGCCTCTTTCACAGGGAGTGTACTGTGGCCAGGCGGCTGGTGATCAGCCTCTCGGCAAGGTTCACATAACACCACGCCACAGGTCCGGCAAAATTGCCGGGGCAGCCGTCGCCCACAGGACCGGCACATGAGCAGCCCCACAGCCTCACTGAGTCCAGCTGTGTCAATGATCTTCAGCACTGTCAGGTTGTCTGTCAGTTGGGTCAGGCTGGTTATGCGGGTAATCTTGCTGCAAAAGGGACACCGGACGCCATTGATGCTACTGGCCAGTAGCTTTTCTAGGCACTGGCGGCAGATGGTATGGCCACAGTGCAGGAGCTTGGGCCGAAGCTGCTCCTCTGTGAAGGACTCCATACAGATGGGGCATTCCAGCACTTCCCGGAGGGCATCCAGGTTCAGATGAGAAGCTGCTGCCGCAGCCATGACTCCTCCTTAGAAGGATCCTGCTAACACAGCTCAAAACTGAACAGCTTACCACCAGTATTCATGCCCCAAAGGGTCAAATTCCTGCTAAAGAAAAAAAAAGAAACCATTATTCATTTCCTACTATCTATATTAATTAATTCACTGAAGAAATATTTAGAGAATGGCTACAATCACTCATTCAGTCATTCCATTATTTAACAAATATTTACTGAAGTGGCATAGTGGATAAGGCATTTGGCTGCTAACCAGAAGGTCAGGGGTTCAAACCAGCCACTCTGTGGAAGGAGGATGGGGTAATCTACTTCTGTAAAGATTTACAGCCTCAAAAACCCAACGGGGTTGCTAGGAGCCAGAATCACCTTGATGGCAGTGAGTTTGATTTTGGTTTTGACTCTGTGTTAAAGGAACTCTTGTGTGGCAAATGGTTAAAACGCCAGACTGCTCACCAAAAGGCTGGCAGTTTGAACCTACCCAAGAGCTCTGTGGGAGAAAGAGCTTGCAATCTGCTTCCATAAAGATTACAGCCAAGAAAGCCCTATGGGGCAGTTCTACTCTGTCACATGGGGTCGCTGAGTCAAAAAAGGACTTGACAGCACTAACACTAGTTGATGGTAATACACAGGGAAACAAAGCAGACAAAGCATTGCATAGTGGATAAGAATTCAGGTTCTGGAGTCAGACTTCAGAAACACATCTCTAACACCTTCTTAGTTGCATGACCTTAAGGAAACCACCTACTTCCCAAAGCTCAGTTTCCCCATTACCCATCTGTAAAACTGAAAAAATAACAGTGTCTATTTTATGTGGTTGCTGTATTTTTTTCACATATAACATGCCCGCACAAATAATGCACACACACATATAATGCTCACAGGAAGCTAACACACAATCAGGTTGTACGGTTTGCAAAAAAATTATATAATGTGCATCAATGGTGTAAAAATGCAGTATATAGCATTATGTATATGACACACTTAGTATAGCACCTGGCAAATAGTATGCTTTTAACACAGGTAATTATTTTTAAATGTTGTGAAAGCTTATAGTTTTTATTAGAAGAAAAACAGAAGAATCACTTACAGTAAAAGGAATATAACAAATAGAGTGAAAACTGTGTCTGCCTAGAGGAACTGGAGAAGATGTCAGAGAAGTGGTGACACACCTGAGATTATTTCTTGAAAAACAGTGACAATGAGGGATAAAGACATTTTGTTGTTGTTGTTGTTGTTATTTGCCGTCGAGTCGGTCATAGCGACCCCTCCTTGGGTTTCCGAGGCAGTATCACTACGGAAGTAGGATTGCCCAACCTTCCTTCCGAGGAGTGGCTGGTGGGTTTGAACCGCCAGCCGTATGGTTAGCAGGCAAGTGTCTTAGCCACTATGCTACCAGAGCTCCTAAAGACATTTTAGGCAAAAAAAATAGCATAAGCAAAAGCGTGGAAGTCTAAGAGTTCATCTTGGTATTCTGGGAGCCTAAGAAGTATCCAGAGAGAAGCACAAAGTCATGACGACTAGCATTAGATCATAAAATATGTGTTCTCCATTTACCTACGTGCCTACCTACTCACCTATCCATCCATCCAAGTCTACTGGGTACTAAGAGGTTTTCAAAACACATATCCTGACTTTCATATGTTCAAACTTTAGTGGAAGAGATAAGAAATGTAAAGAAATAACAATCAAGGGAGAAAGTAGTATCATAAATGAAATAGGATAAACTAAGTCTGATGAAGACTGAAAGCAATTCATTCTAATTTGAAGGGAGATGGAACTTACAGAGAGGATGTAGCATTTGACATGGGCATAGAAGGATACATAGGTATGTAGAGACAGGAGAAAGGGAGTTCCAGGCAGAGGTCAATGCCTTACAAAGGCTGGAAAGCAGAAGGAGGAGCAAGAAGTACCGTGTATTAGAAAGAGAACAGAGAACACTTAGCTGTCACATGGGTGATGTAAAGATTAAACGAGACAATATATGAAGTGTGTAGAATGCTAAGATTTGGCTCAGCATCAAAAAATTAAAATTAATTCCAGTTCTCTTTTCTCTCATTCTTAAGTCAGAATTGTGGGAGTATAAAGAGGGAAAGAGTAACAGGTTTGCAAAGGTAAACTGGGGAGGTAAACTGGGAAATGATAAGACAAGGTCTTCAGAACCAAAATGAGACTTTTGAACTTGATTCTAAAGTGTACAGTGAGACAATTAATGTTTTGGTGTAAAGAACTGGGATAAAGTGGCATGAAAAATCACATAAACTAGTTTGGAAGCTTCTACAAAATAGTTTGGGAGAGGTTATATGGAATCTGAACTAGGGAACAGATAGTAGAAATGGTAAGGAGATGCATTTGGGCAATATCCCAGAAGTGTAATCAGTTAAGCTTTGAAAACTGAGCAGACTGGTGGGAGGAAAGCAATAAGGAAGCACTAAAATGGCCTATAACTCAAGTCCAGATAATTTAAAAAATGGTAGTGCCTTACCAAAAGAGTTTATTTCTAGCTTGCGACACCTCTTGCTTGACCCAGTATGTAGCAATGAATACCCCCACCACGCTCCATCCACATTTACTCCACAGAGGACTTGAAACCATGAAGTAGGGCCATAGAGATCTCAGTGTTCTGCAGTCTTATGTCATCATCAATTTATATCCAGAATTAGAATGACTACAACAAGGTGAGGCACATGGATAAATTCAGTCCTTCTTAAACTTATGTCCTACAGCTGCACCTGTGCAGTCTCGTGATATGCAAATAGTCTTCAACAAGGAAAAGGAGGAGGTGGAGGGCAAGTTAGCTTGGTTTTAAGGACAACACAGCAAGCTAAGGAAAGCTTTGTAAATGTGATCAACTCTCCAGGCACAGAGGAGGATGCAAAGCAGAGGTATATATTACAACAAAACATATTTACTTTGCAATTTAATCTGACAGACATTCATAGCAAACATGCACATTTAATCTAAGCTCACTCCCACATCTGCTAAACTGGCCTTCTACTGGAAGGGAAATTGCTTTGGCCACAAAGATTTGAGAAAACTGCAAATTACATAGTTCCTTCTTTAAAGTATACAACAGCAATATTAAAAGTTTTCAGAAATCCTGAAACTATCTTTAACTTTGTTCAACCCAACATTACTTAAAGCTCTTTTTTCAAATTGTCATAGAACACTTATTAAGTAGTGTTCCCTATACCATGCTCTGGGAAATGCTCTTATGTAATTTTCTCCACAAGGATTAGTGAGGAAACACTAATAGACATATGAGATTCAGTTGCTATGGAATGGGTTCCATTGATTTATTAGCTGAGTGACCCACTCCCACACACCAGCCTTGCAACTGTTATGACTCAAACCCACATTAAAGTAACAAATTACCACATATCATGAAACCATGGGGTCTTATGTGAATGTCTGAGGCTGGATGCTGAATTCTTAAATACCACTCGTCTTGGGCAATAGCAGTAGAAGTGCTGATAGAAACCTCAATTCAAAATCCATGCAAACATTCTCAATTTTAAGCCAATGGTTTCAGCTCTCTCTCGTAGCATCTGGGACTACAGACTGAGGGCACTATTTGGTGTCTAGATCCAGAGCATGTTGCCTTACAATGCACAGTGGCATCTGTTCTTCCCAAAGCTGGCACTGCAGATTAGCTCATTAAACATGTCTGCCAACTTGTAAAGATACCAGCAAATTCTTTCCCCAGCTTTCTGCCTCCTTGTCTAAGCCATCTGCTTAAAAAAAAAAAAAAAAAAAAAAAGATTTTACTGTGCCCACATCCATACCCCAAATTATCTCAGCTGTCTGCAACTTCACCAGGCTCTGAGGCAGAAGAAAATGTCAAGGATTCCTGCCCCGAAGCTGCCATGCTCTGCCAGGGAAACATGAATTCTCATCATTAAAGCATCAGGCATGGAGGCAGACTCAGACATGGAAAAAGCTAGGAATACTTGTCCAAGACCTGGCAACAGTGCTTTCTGAAGGCACCTAGCCTGAATTGGAGCTATGTGACGGATACAGCCTTTTCTCTGAAGGGTACATCTGACCATGATTAGAATGCTGAATGACCCAGACAGAAGGTCATTTTGACCTCAGTTTCCCTAAAAAGATTAAACAAGTAAAAAGAACTGTCTTACCATCACAAGTCTTTAAACTAACTGTCCACTTTCTGCCAGCTATAAAATCTGTAACTGGCCAGAATGAACTCACAACATGCTATTTATGATCTTGGTTGTCTTTATGATCCCTTGAATTTGTTTTTTGTGGCACACTTCATACATTAGACTCCTGACCTCCTGTCATTCCCTGACTTCAGATTACCCCCTCCCTCAAACCTCTGATATCATGATAAATACGGCACCTCCCACAGTGATACCAGTCCATCTCTTCAGTTCCATGAGAATCCATCCCTTAAGCTGTGTGTCTTCTGACAGCCCTAAGGCTCAGGAAAGCTATAATCATATGCCAGCCGAGTTAGTTAGCAACTGGCACCACTGTTTTCCCCCCGTTTATGAAATTAATAATATTTACAGGTAATAGGAAAAAAAGGAAGACAAAGCAAAACTATGAATTTTAGAGTCTGACAGAACTGGGTTCAAATATTATAAACTGTAGGAAAAAGGTAAGTTATTTAACCTCTCTAAGCCTGTTTTTATTTTTTTTCTTACCTTACATTTATAAAAAGGTTGCAATGATGACTAGGGATAAATGCCTGGAAATGTAATGAAAGGTTGCAATTTCATCAGAATTTTAATAACAACAAAAAACATTAACAATGAGTAATACTAATAAAGCAATCATTTTTCAAAATGAATTTTAAAAGAATGACGAACCTTTCCTTTCATGACATACAAAGGCATATGAAGATTAATGAAAGAACTGGTCAGCAGTAGAGGGATCTGACTGAGGATGCTAGCTAGATATCCACGCTAGAAACTGATGGGCAAATGAATCCAGAATTCTCTTACTCAGAAAACCAGCTGCTTCCAGCAACTTCCAGCAGGACTAAATATGCAATTCTAGAATTAGAAGCCATCTCAAAGAGGATCTTACCCCAATCTCCCATTATATAGATGAGGAAACTGAGACCAG